GGACATATGGACACTCACTCATAACATCATTCTGGTTCCCCTCGATATCCCCGAAACGGTTTTGCGCGATTTCCAATATCCTCTTTAGTTTGGAAAATATGGCCGACTGCAAGTTTTCAAATTGACACCCTGTATAATCCTGAAAATCCAACACAACAATAGGCAATGCCAAAATTTGGGTTTGGTAGATTCACAATCACAATCCCTATCCCGCGCCCTTTTGTCTTCGCGCCCTTATGTCCCGCGCCCTTTCGGCGGCGCCCTAATGTCCTAGACCGTGTCTAGTGCGACGCAGCATAGGGATTTCAATGGTAATTTCTTTATAGCCAATTACTAGCTCCCCTAATTATTTTAGAGCAAAAGTCTAAATACATTTTTTTCAGAGAAAAAAAAGAAAAAAATACTGCATCTGTTCATACTAATACTTATAATTTTCCGTTTTTCAAAACCGTAGAAATCGATAAAATAAAAAGCTTCATTTTACAATAAATCAGATATGACTTGGAATAACCTAAAAAACAGTGATAAATAACGTTTCATTATTTGCCTTTGACGTATATTAAATTTATACTTGTTACTTATAAATTAGTTAATCATAAAATTGTTTATCATGTGTTTAACTGAAGAGAAAGTGGAAATGCTAAAGTTGTTTTATGCCCGCCAAGTAACGTCTTTATTTACTGTGAAGTACCCCAATCGACCGATTCCAAGCAGTACCGCGGTAGACAGAATTGTGGGCAAGTTTCAAAGAACAGGAACAGTGTTAAATTAATGCAAGTGCAATAACGTTCAAAATTTCCTTCAAAACCATCAAGAAAACGACAATACATTCAACGTTTTGGCTGCAGTAGCGGAAAATCCGAATATGTTTAAGAACAATAATTGTTCTTAAACTTATATTCGGAGGAAGAATTATTCTTCCTCAAATCAATTTCTTTTTCTTCGATTATGTACTCTGGTTTCGGAAGATGAACAAATAGTATCCGATGGAGATGCAGCATTACATTCTCTAAAAAAACATTACCTACCCCATAGACGCTTTTTCTTGCGTCGATTAGTTGAAACAGAATTAAATATGAAACTTAGATGCGATGCGCTTGTAGTTTGTTAAAAGATTCCAAAGCATCACTGATTTATAAAAATTTAATTTTTTATTATGTGGATTTTTACGGTTTTGAAAAACGGAAAATTATAAGTAGGTACCTAATCGTATAAACAGATGCAGTATTTTTTTCTCTAAAAAAACATATTTAGACTTTCCTCTAAAATAATTAGGGGGGCTAGTAATTGGCTATAAAGAAATTACCATTGAAATCCCTATGCTGCGTCCCGCTAGGCACCACCCGGTATACAGGGTCCTGCAACAGTGCGTCGGTCTTTCCTAGGTCATACCTGGTAAAATAGTATATTAAGAGACAAGTGTATAATCAAGTCTTTAAAGCACGCGCAACTAGTTTAATGGCATGACGCGAAGCGGAGTGCCTTTAAACGTTGGAATTGCTTTAAAGACCAATTATACACGTTTTTCTTATAGTATTTTTTTTTATTATTGCTGCAATATAATTTAAAAATAAGGGAAATACAATGAAACCATATTGACGTTATACTCGAATACATGTCCAGTTCAGTTAGAAATTAAAATTGCTGGTTCGTTTTGAAATGAAATCTCTGTATTTCTATTTCTTAATCACATTATTTGTAATAATTTTATTACTGTTTTCAGTTAGCAAAATATTAGAAACGTATAATTATATTGTGTTCAATAATAGTTATTCAAGAATCATCGGAAACTGTTTAAAACATAATACAGGCAATGCATTGCTTTTATTCAAAGCGGAGGCTATTGTTGGAATTTTGAGAAGCCGGGAAATTGGAGGTGGTCATTTTAAGCATTATTATTTCAGTATATTGCTACATTTAAATTTTATTTTTCTAGCCTTCTTGTCACTCGATTTGCTGCAATAGAAATTCTAATCCATTATTTAGACCGTTAGTGATCATTAGGTCGTAGGTAAATTAAAAATAAAATTGTCAACGATTGGTTTATATTAGCAAATGCTTCATTTTATCACCTGATCACGAGATGTGCTGTTACATTTTTATTAAGACGTTACGGTCTCTATCGTAATACCTACGTACTACAAGTCGGTTTCGCAATTAACAATTAACAAAAAAATATGCAAAAGAAAGGGAAATAAAGGCTAACACGACTTAGTGCAACTACTGGACACTAGTGTCTTGGAGTGACGTGTATTTCCTTCGATCTTTTGTTGAGCTTTTCATTTCATTATAGCCTCGCGAAGTTTTGTTTTTCTGCTTGAGAGAATGAAATATTTCCCGCTTGAGAAAATATACCGCTTTCAATAACAATAGTAAAAATAAGCAGGCACAAAGCAGAATTTGCTATGAAAACATATCGAAATGGGGAAAACATACTGAATATAGAAACCTCTTCGAAAGTTGAATAAGGTACCTATATGATCGATTTGCAGTCTGAGGAACAACAATAAACGCTAGTATTAAAAAAGTATAACCATACAACTGTAAGATTTCGTAGAAGCAGCTGGGCGCGGCACGGTTATTGATCACAGTCTGTGCTTTTCCAGCGACACTCCCAACAGCTGTTCCAACTACTACTTCATAATTTTATTGTTGTTACGTATTGTTTCCATTTCGACTTTTCCAACCTTTCCTAAAATTCTTAACGGCACATTGTTGGATAATATAATTTCCAAAACAGCCTTATGTTCGTCGAATAACTTGTTCCACTTGTGACTTAGTAACCTACAATTCCAATTCAGATCTCTAAGGTTGCTAACGTAAGCGAAACAAATCTCTTTTCATGACAATAACGTTCAAATTAGCAAATGTAAATAGTAAGAGTGTTTGTGTATAAATACCAGAAAGTGTTTTAGGGCAGATTAAAACGTTTAATTAATGTTTACAAAAGAGTTAAAAGGTTTTCAATTCTTAAATTAATTAATGAATGCAGATCAGTATTTCATTAGCAAAGTTTAAAATTATCGATCTCACAAGTAATCTAACTCAAAATGACTAGAGCCTGCATATCTACACTACATCAGAAAGCTTTTAGTGAAAATTTGAAGTCTCTAGCTATTGTAATTGCTGAAATCTCAGTCGGACAGCCAGTCAGCCATAACGAATGAAAATCGTATGCGATTCTTCGTATCGTTGTTTTTCGTTGACATCCTTGGTTGCTTACGGTGGTGTCAGGTTACAGAACAAAGCGTGTCGAAGAAAATTTCTGGTTTTGATGGCATTGCACTAATACTACAGTTTTGTGCTGGTTTTTGCTGATTTGTGCGCTAGTACTAAGGTTTTGTGCGTCTCTCGTTTCGAAGAAAGTAAACACCAACATCATCGCATCGACACGACACTAATATCATACTTTTGTACTTTTACTCTGATATGTGCGACGATACCAAGATTTTGGACGCGTTTGTCTTAGTTGAAGCAAATTAAAATTGCTGTAGGAGGTTGCAACGCAACGCCACTTATTCTCGGAATGCCTTAAATGCCTTTGATACAATTAGATGAGATAAAAAATCTTCTTTCGATTGGTGTCATTATAAACCTTTTAAGCTAACATAGAGGGCAACAATCTGCAAAAAATCTTTTTCCCATGTTAACTGCGTACGTTCGGTTTTGGAATATTCACCCAGTATAGGTATGTAATTATTTTATGCGCCTATACGTTAGTGTTTGTGTGCCTTTCCTTAAACATTTTTGTTTTGTTTGGTTGGGCACGTTGGGGTCATCGTATACATCCTTTCTGATATTTATACAGGATTATACTGAAAACTCTGAACATGCATAGTGCTTTTTTTTCTGATTTCAAATATGTAAACATCACTATTTTTTAAATAGTGTTAAAATATCTTCTTTTATGCCTGGCAAACTTTGTCATGGGTAGTGTATGTTCGTAGTTTCTTACGTTTTTACGAATTAATAGCGTCATATTTTATTAAAAAATAGCAATATTTACATTTTTGAAATCAGAAAAAAGTGTTCTATTAAATGAAAAAAAAGTTGATGGTTAAAGGGAGACCAAACCCCAGACTTAAAATTTACAACTAGCATCTTGTAGAGGGAAAAAATTGGCCATAATAATGTGTCATTTATTTTGAAATATCTCTTTAAATATCTTTGGTAAATAAAAAAGGGCATGGGGTACGGACAGGGTATGTCCGAAAGTAGTCGAAACTTTTTCAGTTTAAAATTGCATTTAGTTAAGTATCAAAATACGCAATTGCCAAATTTAAATTACCTACCTATCTCTTTTACAGTACAGTGCAGTGCAGTGCAGTGCAGTACAGTACTGTACTGAGCAAAAAAATTCAAAGGGATAAGTTTTAAAATGTAATTCTAAATTTTTCGTGAATAAGGGGCTTTGTGTTTGCTGACTTTAGACAATAAATGAATTATCAGTAATAAGTATTAGTAATAAACACAAACAAAAGTAAAAAAAAAACGTGCGAAGACATTAAACGGTGAAGAGCGCTTTTTGGTTGGAGCTAGGGAGCTGTTCTGTCACGAATTTGACATATTTTTTTTCTTGGTAGAAGAAGGAGGAACTTGATGTAGATCTATCAAACAGTGCTTTTATACAATGGTAACACATATTGTCCATTGTCAAATATATATTATTATTATTATTACTTGAAAAATGAAATGTGATATAAATTGTCGATGCACCCAATTTTCAGGTCAAAGTCTAAATAAAATGTCGTTTCTCGTTAGTTAATATATGGTAGGTTTTTAACTCCCTAATGCTTTCGTGTGGTCCATTTAAAAGGATACAGGTACGTAGGGGAATTGTGCCTATGTATACTCTTAGAACAATACCTCTGTCTGTATAATACAATCAATTCCTTGGTATACATATAATATACACATAATACCTTGGTGTATAGTATACATACATATAGTATATTATTTACTTAGCACAGTTAATAATTTAAACTTTTATTTACTTCCAGGTGAATTCGAAGGTTTGGACCTGTCATTTGTCTCCGAACCTTGTCCCCGACTCTGACGATATGGTAAGTCTGTGTTTTACTATCCCTATTTCAAAATGTAGAGAAGAAATTATTTACTTTTAAATGAACCACTTGAATGAAACGATAGATATTTGTATGTTAGTGTACGATGTAACTTGTGAAGGATGGTGTTAAACTTTGAGCAGACTCCTGAAACTTTACCCACAAATTACTTTCGTTGTCATTATGCTTTATTTTACCCTATGTTAAAAAGGAAAGTTATAAATTGATGAAATTATTTATTGAACTGCTGAAAAACGCTGAAGGCTAAAGAATTTTCGATGTAAAGTTCTAATCGGCATAGTCAGATTATTGGCAGATAAGATATTCGAAATGTCATTCGAATGATCTGTAATCCTGGAAAAGTACACATCGCGAATAATGAAGTAGGTAACTGTAAATATGCAAGGTGACCAATTTTAATTAATTGATAGGCTTTTATGAAAGTTTCCACGTATGGTAAGCCAAAACTGAGTTAAAAAAGTAAAACAAAATTGATTGATACCAGGGACTTGAACTTGAACAGAATTATCTGCTCCAATTTGCAAACAAATGTTTTTATTGTTCACTGCCATTATCACCCGCAATAATTTTCTTCTCGATTTTATTGGTCACCGACTGTTCTACATAACTTTCAGCAAAAGATGAGGAACGCAAACCTCCGTGTCTTTTAAGACTCAGGATGTCAGCAGAAGCATCCGCCAATAGCGTTGCCGATGTCCGCCGAAAGCAGTGTCCTGTATAAAGCCTTGGCCACTAATCTAGGTATTTTGGATGCAATATTTATATCCACTGGCTGAACGGTACATTTTCCTGATTTTCGATATATTGTTAATCAATTACAATTATTTCCTTTAGCGCCAGTCACAACAAAGGAACCCGGTTTATAATTGTTCGTTTTGCTGATACTGACAACTAATATAGTTCCTTTATCTTCAATATCAGTGGTTTTAAGATTTACTAACTCGTCACACCTACAGGCCCCCATAACTCCCATCACAACAACCATTTTCATTAGCAAGTAAATCTCGGAAGCTTCATTCAAAAACTTTTCCACTCTGCGTTGATATTCGCGTTTTTAGGTTGATAACCCTTCGAATTACTTTTTAGAATTGCCATTTTAAACCTAAAACATTCCATATATGATTACAATCAGTAAATTAACTATCAACAAAAAACTGAAGTTTCATGAAAAACTAATAGATATGCTCTGGGTGCCTGTCGAGTTCCGTAGCAGCAACAAACATTTTATGTTCTTGGTTTCTTGCAATAAAAGCACTCTCCATTTCCTTTTCTTAGATTTTCTAGAATGTTTTCTGTTTAGTAAGCATCAGTGCATCGCAGTCACATCGTCGTTTTCACTTGATAACATTTTTCACGGAACTAATGTAAAAAACGCGTTGCTTTGATGGGACAGCACCATCTCGTCCGCTTGTGCCATGCCGAAATCGTGTCGCTGTCGCGTCGCTATTGCGCCGCTTTGGTGGGACACGGCCCTAAGACAATTATAATTTGTGGACAGATTGTGTATAAATTACTGTTTGGTTTCTGTTGGTCTCATGGGACCCATAACAACGAAAAGTGTTTACTATGTTTTTTTCATTAGTTTTCAACATAACTAATTACACGCGGTTATTTAAAATTATTAGTAACAGCATTTAACAAAATGATATACTGCACTCAGAGAAAATCTATGTCACTCACTTGTGTCTAACGCCTAGTGTCTAATCTCAACTAAAGGCTCGTTTTCACGATGATAGTTTGCGCGAGAGTTAACTGTCATGAGAGCCACTCTCGCGGCAACTATCATCGTGTAAATTAGCCGATAGTCACTCTCGCACTGTCGCGACAGTGCTCTCACGCTATCACGTTGCACTAGATAGTTGACAGTATTCTCGCACCATCACCACAACTATCACGACAACTCTCGCCGTGAAAACAGTGACTATCGTGGTTCGTGATACTATATTTTATAGTGTTTGATTGTTTTAATAAAATGGCGGAACGTTTCTTTAAATACGCACTATACTATCACAAAATAACGATCCGTGTAAACTGCCTACTAATGTGATAGTACTATCACTATCACTCTCTCGATAGTACTCTCGTGAGAGCACTATCATCGTGAAAACGAGCCTTAACGCATGAGTAGGTAAAACTTTAAGTTTCTCCAATTGTACTGTAATATACTATTAATAAATGCGGTAAACAACTCCTAACTCTAGATTTCAGTGTATGATTTAGTGGTTAAACATTTCATTTAAGCGCTCAGTGTAATCCAAAAACGGCAAACATGTAATGCAAATTTTAGGTCGAAACAGAATTAATATCAATCATCCTTCTTTTCATAACGCAAACGGAAACCACCGTGGGTAAATCTAAAAGATCGAATGGGAAAATAAAATAAAGACTCTTTGTTACGTATTCTAGAGAAGTCCAAACATGATCTGACGAAGATCGTTATTTGTGGCACATAGGTTCAAATTTGACGTTCTGCCTTTTGCATTATTCAACTTCTCGAGATTGTTGCAATTTAGCTATGTTCGGTTAGGGGCGTGTGCGTGAAGGCATTAGAATCTAAAATTGTACGACAAAACAAGGGCTTAGTTCAAACGAAATCGTTTGTTTTGTTGTTATTGCTACTATGGAAGTTGCAAGTTTTAGTAGGGAATTCAGTTACGGAACAATAAGCTCGCGCTCCAAATTCGATCATTGTACCCTTTTTGATTTGATTTAGAGTTCCAAACATGAGCCACTCGCAAGCATTTTTCTTATAAATCGATGCACGTTGGTGAAATTTTCTAAACATGCCTACATAACGATGTCGAAGGTATTAAAAAGCCTGTTTGATCCTTTACTGAAATTGGTTCAGTGCTTCAGTTAAGACTCCCGAGAATTGCTTGCTATCATATTCATGAGATGGGACAAGAAATACGTTGGTCCTCAACAATAAACTGTTTATTTTAGATACGTCCCTTAAATATTCATATAACTCATCCAATTACTTTTCTACATAATTGAGGTTGCATGTACGAACGAATTTATACGATAAGTTGTAGAAACATCTAAAAGGAAAATAAATTGCATGCAATTAATTAATTTTATCAGTAAAGTTGTCTAAATGAAAATATAAATAAATAAGGGAGAAAAATGTCTTCTTTAATCACCCAAGACTGCTGTTGGCAGCTGAATTAAATGGAAAACGGCGTTTTAGTAAGATGTATACGCGAATCTCAATTTCGCTGAAATTTAATTTGTGTATTGAAACAATGAAACTATCATTAGCCTTGTGCTATGGTACACATTCTTTACTAAATGGTCATTTATCAAACGTCTAATTAAATAAATACGAATACAACATCGCAGTACAACCATCTTTAAACAACTTTATCGTGCATATCTCCTGGGGATATAGCTTTGTGTTGTTCAACGCCTGTCTATCTATCCGTTTGTTTGATGCACGATAACTTAGTTTCAAAACTTTCTACCCTGTTGAAAAAATGGAATACCAGGTTGCTTAGGTTGCAACAGAGGTAGGCATTGGTTTTCAAAAGTCTATACATCTTTAGTGTCAGGTTAAAATGTTCGAGTCTTTCGGTATTATGTGGCTGCTAGATGCGATCTAATAACGGGCGATCAAATTCAAAAATGAGTTGCAGTGGAGTCGTCTTTGGTACGATTTATTTCATACTATCATTGAATAATTATTATTCAATGATACTATCTAGTAATCGCCGCTTTCTCAGACCCATTTGAGTCTGGTAAATCTATTTTACCCCAAATCGTCCTGAAATTTTCATTTTATGCTTACTTTCTGGCAGGAAATTTGAGTTTCCATGACAGAGGCAGAGCAGACTACGTTTCCTGCCGCTTGTCACTTTACTGGCCGCAGTGTCACTTTACCGGCCGCATTTTTGACATTGCTAATTATCTATGACTCATGTCATCACTGACAGATTGACAAAAGTTTTATATACAAATTGAAATGTTATAGAATATACTAAAATACGATTTCGGGTAAAATTTAATACAAAACTCGTCAGTAAAATGACATTACCTGACTCGGAAATTAAAGTACTCGGCCTCAAGGGGCCTCGCACTTCAATATTTCTTTGCCAGTAATGTGTCATTTTCCTGACTTTTATGTAAATAACTATTATTTGTTACTCAGTTGTAAACGTTGATTAACAAGACAAAACGCAAACGGATAAACGTCATCTTTAAACGCTACTGACTTGTAAAACTGACAGCTGACCTGTAAAAATTTTACAAGTTAGTAATCTAGTAATTTCATTGGCCAGAATTAATGCGAAGTCTCTGTTACATGGATAACATGATATTTTAGACATTTCTTCGAGATCAGTTTAAGAACTAATTATTTACGTTTACAAATGAGTAACAAATAAAATATTGTACATTATACGCCAGGTAATAGTTTTTACTGGCTCTAGGAGATGACAGGCTCGCCTGACGGCTCACCAGTCAACTTCTCCTATCGCCAGTAAAAACTCACTTACCTGGCTAATAATGTAAAATACTATTACCAGACCGAAAATTTTTATCAGACTGGAAGTGTTGCCTAGCAACATCAACTGACATCCATTTAAACCTATATATTAATTTGTCAAACAAATCAAGTGATCGACTTTTGCTTTCATTTATTTTTAAAAACAAGTTGGAAAGTACTGTCGAGTTACTTGAGCACGTTTTTGTGCACCGAATCGAGGTTTTATTACCAAACTTATTTTATGCCACAGATTCATTATGAAGGAAACTTTTTGTGCTGAAATATAATCTGCATGCAAAGAATTGTGACACAAAGGTAATGTTTCAAATCCGAGCATTCTACGATGATTCCTTTGAGAGATATAGTTTATTTTAGTTTTAGTAGAACTGGTTGAGAAATACTTCAACGTTGTTGAACGTAAAAATATAGACGCCATGCCAGTTCATCTAGAGAAAAAATCCAATGTGGGAAACACATTACAGATGAGTGTAACGCA